ATTACCTTCACCATCTCGCATGTCTTCAATTTTTTTCATCTAATGCAATTTTTTTGGTATGCTGCAAAAAGGTGATTTTTTTGGATATATTGCAATTCTCTTTTGGTATGTTGCAAATAGAATTGCAAACTTTTATGATTTCGTTCTTTGTTTTGAATAATGCTCGGATCACATGATCTCTAAATAGCAAAAATTTTAATTTTTAAATACGCCTCTTAACCCGTTGGGTCAACCCGAACCCGATAACTTTGGGTCATGAACAAGCACTCTTAGACTTGAACCCGAAGTGATCCGAAGCCAAAATAACCCGAACCCGAACCCGACCGTTTTGCCAGGTCTAGTTCTAGCTCATAACTGAAAGCGTGTACATAACTAATCCAAATCGGCAACTTTGGGAATAGAATACTTGTAACATACCATTAGTACAAAGTAAAACTTTATAGTCTTTCTGTCCCATAATAAAATTCCCATTTAGTATTCATCTGATCAAACTTTATCAACTTTTTTTATATATTTTAATTACTCATTTGATAAAATAATATATACAAAATTTTTAAAAAATTAATTTTTTTTATTTAATTGTTTTGGGAGGGAGAGTAATATAATTTTTGTGGTAGGGATTCCTAATTCCGCTGAAGACAGAAGACCTTTATTTCAACAAGAAAGATAGGCTCTGAACCTTTGGTGCCATGGTCGCTAGCTACACTATTGACAAGAACCAGAGGAGAATTGGATAACAATGAACTAATGAAAAGAGACTAAGATTAATTAGGAATAGTGTGTGCGGCAGTGTCGGAGTGGAGAAGTTCTGAGACCACATCGGGATCTGAAACGCACACATGGACGGAGAAGGGCGGCAGGGGTTCAGTGAGAAAAAGCTCATGCCCACCCATGCTTTCATTGGACGGAGAAGATCTGCGGTGTTGAACCAGAATGCTCAATCTTTCAACCTGTGCTTCAATTCGATACAGAAGACATGCGAGATGGTGAAGGTAATCTGTGACCTGAGTGGTCAAATTTGAATAAGAAGCGAGTATATGTGAAAGCTTATATGTAGTTCAATTAGATATGTATATAGTTAGATTTGTACACACTACAAATAATGGTGATGTAGAATGCACTTGGATCAATTTTATACTTCCCAACAGATTTAATATCATTACTTTGTTTTGCTGTTAAGCATCCCATGTTATCTTCCGTGCTAATTCATTTGCGTGTATAAGGTGTGTCAGTGTTTTTGATTGGCGTGCTGTCTTGCTTGATTGCAGGCATGGATGACAAAACACAAGTAATCTGTATGGAGTTTAAATGGTACCTTTCCTGACCAGCAGTATCCCAAATCTCAAACTTAACTATAGTCAAATCTTGCAGGGCTATTGTCTGAGATAGAAAGGGCTATTGTCTGAGATAGAAAGGAAGCCCCAACAGTAACCTAAACCGATCAAAACAATACAGTTTAGAAATCTGCTTCTTCGATACCGTTTGGAATTTAAAAGATGAAAGAAATTAACAAGCACTTATCCATTGTTTGGTTGAAGGATTCTGGTGTGTGTGTGTGTGTGTTTGGGGGGGGGGGGTATATCTAATCAATTTATTCTTACATTAAATGCATTCAGATATGTTGGAAAGAAAATGAAGTTGAAAATTTATATTGAAATAAAAAATTAGTGTAACTGTCCGAGGGAAACAAATAGAGATAAAACAGTAAAAAAAACATTCAAAAACAATAAAAATGGTGCTACGAGATCTATTGTTCCAAATGAAGCACTGAAGCTATGGAAAGGTTCTAACTAGCATCCATCATGAGATAGTTTTACCTTTGATGTTGGATCAAATTGACCACGA